GGGGGGGGGGGGGCTGCCAGCAGAAACTCTGGAGCCTCTCCCTCTGACATTTGCGTTCTCACATACAGCCCCTCCAGAAAATGTCAGGAGATTATCCGGAGTTCACTGCGAAATCAGCTGCACTGTACCTTGGTATGATAATAGCTGAGTGCATGTGGCATTATCTACATCTCATATGTGCTTGTCTTGTTTGCATGTTCTCTTTCATCTTTGTGAAGTCATCCCCAATGTGTGACTCCTGTTTGCCCCCCGAGCATTTGAGAATACTCCCTTTTTTGCTGAACGTGTTTGTTCACCTCCCACTCTTCAACAGGCCATCTTCTTCGGTGGTATTGACCCATCCATCCGTGGCGAGGTGTGGCCTTTCCTGCTGCACTACTACAGCTACGACTCCACATCCCAGGAGAGGGAGGCTTGGAGACTGCAGAAACGCACCCACTATCATGACATCCAGCAGAGGAGGTGGGGAAGTGTGTACATGCTGTATAGAAATACGGCTGCTAGTAATCTGTAAGACAAAAATGATATGCATTAAAGGTACAGTGTGTAGAATTTTGTAATATCTAGTGTCGAAATTACATGTTGCAGCTGAACACCCCTCACCTCACCCTCTCCTTCCAAACATGGAAAAGAAACTGTGGCAGCTTTAATTGTCAGAAAAACTCAAAAGGTGTTTAGTTTGTCCAGTCTGGACTAATGTAAAAAACATGGCGGCCTCCATAGAGAGGACCCCCTCGATGTAAATATAAAGTATTTAAATATAAAGGGCCTTTTCTGGGGTAAAGAAAACTACAATTCATACAGTTTATATGAAACAAACTAGTGAAAACATCATGAGGATTATTCTACATTAAATATCTGCCAATAGTTCCCTTTCACCTAAATCTTACGCACTGGACCTTTAAGGCGTTTCAGGGTTTATTTGACATTATGGAAATCAATTTATGTGAAAGCGTCCGACCGAGACACAGCAGTATTTTGACACGTGAAGCTACAGATAAACTGTCACATGGCTGCAGTATCGGCTGCCAAATGCTCAGTCAGTCAGACATTAAACCATATGTGAGTCCATTGTGGCTTTTTCATCGCATCTGTTGAGCAATCAATAGGCACAATCAGGGAGGTGTTGAGGGGAGGTGCCGGGTGTGAAATAAAAGGTCTCTGGAGAAAAAACATGTCAGCGCTTATCAGATCATACTCTCTCATCAAACGCTGCTCTGGTACGCACATGAACACGTCACACACTTCAGCACTTATAAGCATAAGTCTTTATTTATCTCCAGCCCGTCATCAAAAGGGTGAGCGTGCACATACTTTAACACATTCTGCCGCTCTGTCTGAAATGAATACGATAATTTGACCCATTTCATCTGTATGGCCTATTAACATTTTGAGTACATGAGAAGGTCTTATTGAAGTCATGTAATTAGAGCCCTTGTTCTGACTCTGATATGGATTCCTTTAAAGACCATTTGACTAGAGCAGCCTCCAGGGCCACTGGTTGATCATTAGGAGTAAGGATACAGTACATGTCTGTGGTTTTCGTCCTCGTCTCCTAGCCTCCTGTCCCTCCTGTAGCACTGATCACTGAGCGGCTAGAAATGGAAGCAATGCAGCTATAACAAAAACCAGCAGGCAAAAAGTGGAACAGAGTGAGTAAAAGTGAAAGAGAAGAATAGTGAAGATAATTCTGGGAAAATGCTTCAGAATCACTGAATGACAGATTATCCTTCCTTTTTGTTTATTTAGGTGTATTTATTAGTTTATTTATATTTGTTGCTTGTAAATGCTGGTGTATTAGAGAGTGAAATTCTAAAGAGCTCCATTTTTGGTTAGCATTTTTGGAAGAGACGAGGACCTAAATAATAAGACGAGGACAATAATTCCTGATTAATCTTCTTCTTTTTTAAAGATATTTTTGGGGTATTTTCCTTTATTAACAGGACAGTGCAAGCATGAAATGAGAGAGAATGAGGAAGATATGCAGCAAAGGGCAGAGTCGGATCCGAACCCGCAGTCGCTGCAGGAAGTCATGCCTCCGTAGGCTGGGCACCCACGCTACCATGGTGTTCTGCTTAAGCTTTTGCAGATTGACTAATTACTAAACAGGTTTAGTTCAGACTGTCTTTTCATTTCATTTTTAAACTCAAGCACGAACACCTCTTACAGAAGCATCAGTCACGTTGATGAGCTGGTGCTTGTTTCATATCAATTTCATTTTACAATTGATTGTGTTTTGTGCTGTTTTGTCTTTATTTACCTGTTGATATTTCTACAGATGGACATCGCAAACAAACAGGATACTAATGCTGTTGTTTGTGGTATTAGTCCATGCTGTATAGATATTAGTACAGGCCAGTGGTAGTTAAAAATTGACAATGTTCCTATTTATTTTTTCCATGTTAACACCAACCTTAGAAATATAAAGTGTTGAAAACATGTACCAAACTCCAGAGCAGCATCCTCTAGAGACAGAGAACCATAGAAATGAGGCTGGGCAGCGTCCAATGACACAAAAACACGGCTCCGAAACTAAACAGTTGCGTGGCATTGCATCAGGTGTGCGCTCATTATTCCTGGTGGGGCCACATGGAAAACAAACAGTGTTAATTAAATCCCCTTTGCTTGTTAGGACTTGAGTACATTAGTGCCATACACAGAGTGCACTGCTAATACGGTCCCTAACATTTAGAGGGATGGTTGGGGGTTTTATGGTTGTGGTATTATCCTCAATGGAGTGCTTGATGGTGAAATAACCCTTCAGACTACTGCTCGCCCACCCCCTTGTTTTTCAGTTTGTTTTAGCAAGGTATTAGGTTTTTACACCAGAGTAACATTTAAGGTAAAGAATATTTGAAAGTGTTTGTAATCCTAATTAGAAGGCATTTCCTTAGAGAATGTGCAGTAAAACTTCCTTTAATTGCTCTTTACTTTCTAAACAAGTTAACTTTGGACACCAGTTAAGAAAACAGCTGCAGCACCTTTTTGTTTTCTTCCCCTGTATCTAACTCTTCTACCTGGTGTCTGCGTGTTTCCTCAGACTGTCTATGAGCCCAGAGGAGCACAGTGAGTTCTGGAGAAAGGTCCAGTTCACAGTAGATAAAGATGTGGTGAGAACAGACCGCAGCAACCACTTCTTCAGAGGAGAGAATAACCCCAATGTGGAAATCATGAGGTTAGATCCACTTCTCTTTTTTCCCCCCTCTCCACTCATGATCTCTATCTCCTTCGCCTTCTCCTCCTTTCACCTTCTCTCAAACCATCCTTATCATTCCAATTCCTCAGCCCAGCACACAGGAGTACCTATTCATTTCATATTTCAAACTCTGGGGGAGCCACAAATGAGTTTCATGCTTTATTGACTCTGACTAAGCCGTCTGAGTACTTTTGATGCATACTCAGAGCTAATGGCTTTCTAAACGAGGAGCAAGAGGATTTAAATGGCATATTAGTTTAGTGACTCTCATCGAGGCTCCTTGTATTTGTCTAGGTATTATGTCTTCTTGTGGTGGGGTGATAGCTGTGCCGCACATGTCCAAATACAAAGCACTCATGCTTCCTCTGTTGTCTCACATCTATTGTCCTGATGCGATCTTCAATGTTCCAAATTCAAAACCACTGAAGAGTCCTCTTCCTCAGAAACTCTTTTTTTTTCCAAATGACATCTGTTCACCTCACAGTTAATATCGCACCGAAACAATAGAAACGTCCTCTGGGTTTTGACTTTGTTTATACAACACTTGAAGTCTCCTTTAAAGTAGTAACCATATACAAAACAGGAAAAAAAGAAGAACAAGAGAGATCATTAATTATCTCCCTAGTAACCAGAGGAGTTGGCATAGCAACCCCTAAGCAGGGCTCGTCATGTTTTTCTGGGCATCACCGACGGTGCTGAAACACATGTTGGATCATTCAGAGTGTTTGGGTGGGACCGTACTTCTCAGTGGTTTGGCTGAGCTGTGGGGTCGTCAACATTTCTATAAAAGAGAATTCAAATGTATGTGATGCTTTATTGCCCCGTCATGCCAGTGTGTTTTCTGCTGAGAGATGTAAAGTCGGCACTAAGATGTCTGTGGCTGTTCTTGCCCCAGGCGGATTCTGCTCAACTATGCAGTCTTTAATCCAGACATGGGCTACTGCCAGGGCATGTCTGACCTGGTGGCCCCGCTGCTCACTGAGATCCAGGATGAAAGCGACACCTTCTGGTGCTTTGTCGGCCTCATGGAGAACACCATCTTCATCAGCTCGCCGCGAGATGAGGACATGGAGAGGCAGCTGGTAGGACATTTCTGTGTGCGTCTTTGGTTTGGGTGAATTGTGCTGACGTGGAGATAAAGGTGCCAGTACACTCAGTCACAAGTAAACATGGGATGGTCAAACAGCTTTGGAAACTCCCTCCTTCCCTTCACACCTTTCTGGTGTCAGAATTTGGAGGGTGGAGTGCGTCCAATAATTTCTATAAACCTCTGACACCAAGAATCAGACAGTCACACCCACCTCTTGCTGTGCAATGTGGAGAAAGAGGGTGTAAATGTTTGTCTGTTTTTATTATATCGACCCGTTTTATATGAAATCTTCAGACTATAAGCACAATTGACTTCTGACATGATCCTTCATTAATTATAGTCTTTTTAAGCATGACGCAAATGTCCGTGAGAAACGATGCACAAATCAGTGTTATGGTAGCAGCAAGCTTATTGGTGGATCCAACATTCTATCAGGAATTTTTTTAATTCTTTTTCATTCAAAGTTTGGGCGTACATTTCAGCATAATGCTGCCAGAAGCGTGTATGAAAATATGTTGACCATCTTGTCGTGGTTTTGTCCAATTTCCATTCAATTTTCATTTCAAGCTTGTTTCACAGATGTAGTAGTTTATTTACGCTGCCACTGGGGGGAGATTGATTTCTAAGCCCTCTTTTCTTTTAATGTTTCTGGAAATAGTGGTTTGTTAAATGTGACTCTGGTTCCCAGTGGAGACATACTGGACTTTACACCCTCAGTCTGAACAAGTATCAATGAAACACATGCAGACATGTCCTTATGACTTACGTTTGTATCATGGTGTGTACTGTTCCTGACCTGCCTGCAGATGTACCTGCGGGAGCTGCTGCGCCTCATGCTGCCCCACTTCCACCAGCACCTGACCAGGCTCGGGGAGGACGGCCTCCAGCTGCTGTTCTGCCATCGCTGGATCCTGCTCTGCTTCAAGCGAGAGTTCCCCGACACAGAGGCTCTGCGCATGTGGGAGGCCTGCTGGGCCCACTACCAGGTCAGGGCAAAGTCTGCACGGCTCCTTTGCATACACCAGTTTGTAAAAAATACACTTTGCATATATGAGTGGGCGTTTGGCAGCGCTGGGTTTCACTACAGGCATGTGATGATTTTTCAGGATACAAAAAATGCATTGTTAGAGTAGAAAAAGCCCAGTGTGACTAACTGATTTTAATCCTGCTTAATGCTTTTACAATTTATTACCTCTTTTAATTCAACAGTGATGAGATTTAAAAAAAACAATTTTAGCTATATTAATTTCAGTGCTTAAAAAATTTTAACATAACATTTGACCCCCCCCCCCCTATTTCCTTTTGTTCCCCTTTTATTTGTTCTTTCTCCACTCACCCCAACCGGTCCTGGCCGAGGCCGTCCACACAGAGCCCGGTTCTGCCGGAGGTTTCTTCCACCTGGGAGTTTTTCCTCCCCGCTGTTGCGCATGCTTCCTCGGTGTGGAGCAAGTTGGATTATGTCTTTCTTAATATCTTGGACTTTTGTGCAGCACCCTGAGACAACTGTTTGTTGTGATACCGTGTTATATAAATACATTTGATTTGATTCGATTTACAGGTTAAAGTTAGTGACATTTCTCCCTCACACTGATGCAGTACATGTTTCATCCGGTGAACTTGTCACTGTGTCGTGTTCACTCTCAGGACACAGAGTTTAACACCTCTCCTTGCTGAGGCGAGGTCAAATATCAGTGCCATCTGTTCAGACTCTCTGCTCTCTCTCTCCCTCATTAGTGTTACTTTTCTGTGTATTATTAATATTGTATGATTTCAAATTTCAATTATGATCATTGTCTGGTTTCAATTTAATGTGTGTTTTTCAGGTGAACCCCAGGAAGACAAGCCATGTGGATGAAAAACTAACTATTTAAATATGTGTGTTTGTGTATATATCTATATCTATATCTATAGATATAGATAGATAGATATATCATCTTTTTTATTTTTTATATCTATGTTTGCCTTCTTTTTCTTTGAACTGGATTTCAATATTTATTTAACTTTTTGTACATATTCATTAGTCTGCCCTCACTCTGTGCAGCCTTCTCACTGTTCCCTGCATTAGGGGCATGAAATACAGAGATCTGAGATCGTGTTCTCGATGGATTAAAGGCCATAAAAAGCTAATCAATAAGCCTGAATTTGTCTTAAAGTGCAGAACTCTTCACCGCCCTCTTTCCGTCTCTTTACAGACGGACTATTTCCACTTGTTCCTGTGTGTGGCCATCATTGTTCTCTATGGGGAGGATGTGACAGAGCAGCAGCTTGCCACTGACCAAATGCTGCTTCACTTCAGCAACCTCTCCATGCACATGAATGGAGAACTGGTGCTAAGAAAGGTTACTCACTACTTTTTTCCCCCTCTCCTTCATGTCCTGACATATCACATGTTTAATAATTTATTTTGCACTTCTTTAGAGCCAAAGTACACGAGTATCCATACATAAAATATTAGATTAATCTGTGAGTTATTTTCACGCTGTGCTGCATTACTACACGCTGTCATGTTTGCATTAGGTCCAATGCTGCAGCAGAGCAGCTCTGATGCATTGTAACCTGCCCACAGAGGCCTTGAGCTGCTGGCTGGTCTGCTGCCAGGCCATGCAGAGGATTTATGATCTGCATCTCTGCTATTGTGTCTGTGCCTTCGCCCTCATGTTTATGGATGCTGTGTTAGCACTGCTGCAACCACAGGCAGTGAGTTCATGTTAGCATGCAGAACACACAACTCCTTTTGTTGTTGCCTGAGATTTTGCATCCAGCGTTTCGGAGAGCAGGCGGGGCAGCTTCTTATCTCTAGGTAAAATACAACAACTGCAACCTTGACAGCAGTTTTTATTTCAGATGGAAGTCATGATGTATTTCAATGTTTTAATCCACTAGGTCAGATGTGTGTTACTGTTTTGTGTTTGTCTGCTTCTTGTCAGTCAAAAGATCCTTTCATTATTTTCCATTTAGCTATTTTAGTTCATGCTGCCCTCTCTCGCCCCACTCTCCCAGGCCCGCAGCCTCCTCTACCAGTTCCGCCTCCTACCCAGGATCCCATGCAGCCTTCATGACCTTTGTAAACTATGTGGCCCGGGGATGTGGGACAGCCGGTACATCCCCACTGTGGAGTGTTCGGGTGAACACCCAGACTCACAGAGCTGCCCCTATGGAGGCACCTCCACCCCACAGCCCTCCTCACCATCCCCATCATCTACGCCCTCACCTTCTCCGAACCCCACCCCCACGCCTCCAGCGGAGGGCAAGAGAGGATCCAAAACCCGGGAGATTTTCACTTTCCGGAAACAGTCCTGAGGCGGAGGTTATGGGGAGTTAGTCCAGCAGAGTTTTGGATCCATCTCTCTGGATTCCTGAACTATTTACTGACCTCTGACTCCTCTCTCTCTCCACAGTCCCTGCTTCTTGTTCCACTATCTTAATGTGGACTTTTTTGTCACTTGATCCTTTCCTGTGGTGCATTGTGGAGCAATGCCTTACCAGAATGTTATTTCAAACGTTGACTGAATATGCGATGAGGATGTTCGCTGTTCGACCGGCTGGAGGTCAAGGAGCTGCTTTCCTCTCGGAGAAGGATGGACAATCACCAGCCACTATGTTGGTCTGGAGCTACTTCAGGTTTTCGACTGCTGCTGGTCTGGCAAACTTCCATGGGCTTTGTGGGCAGTGGGTCACACAAGGGTCTGAGGCAACCGGCCCGAATTCTCTCTGACTCTGACCACGGGTCAAAAGAAACTGGAGATTCATTCACAGGACTTGAACTTGAAGTATTGAAAATGTTCCTGTGTTCTCACAATGGAATATTTGTGAGTATTGAATCATATTATGTGCATATCTCACAGGACATTTTTAACATGAATTACAAACCCTTGTTGACAAAGAAATGCTAACCCAGAAAAAGGATTATAAAAAATGACTGCAACTTTTAAGTTTATTTTCCAACAAGTGAATGTTTGCGTTTATATTGACAGTTACGAAATATTTAGCAATATTATATCCTTGCATGAAAGATTATTTCCATATAGAGGGCACTGTATGTTTTCTTTAAAAAACACATAAGCCCCAAACAGAGTTAAGAATTTGTTTACACAACAAACGTCGTGATAGGGCTCTGCATATTTCCTCATCCGATTGTGGTTGGGAACATTCTCATCTTTTGTTTTTCTGACAAACGGGAGGAAGCAAGTATGTTTCCTCCTGATAAACTCAGACGCGGATGTTCAAGTTACCTGTCGTGCAATAGGAGCTTCACCATTTACACATTAAGCATCTTAAGATATAAAATGACTTTCCTGTCTGAGGATTAGACGGATCTGACAGCAGTGGCTGCCGCAGTGAGCATAGATCATGTTTTATCTTGACTGAGAAATTGATGGCCTCCTGTTTTACTTGAAGTTTTTTCGTCTACGATGAACCATGTTTAGGCAGGGTTGTGAAAAATCTGTTTCTTTTTTCCCCCTGCATCGTCTCCACTCTCACCTGAAAATGAAAGACTCTATCAACGCTAAGAATCAGTCCACTGGAATGTAACTTGTTTTTGCTTCTTCTCACTCAAATAGGGAAGTGTGAAACTTTTGTGTGTGTGTGTGTGTGTGTGTGTGTGTGTGTGTAGAAACTGATGTGACCTCTAAACATCTGGTAATGAGTTGGAGAACAGCCATAGAAGGCCTCCCCCCTCTGACCAGTCTCTTTAATTATAGCAGTCGTCATGGGGAGAGAGGAAAGAAGAAAGAAAAAGTGTGCCCTTTGGACTCCTTAGGGAAAACAACACACGAGAGATAGAGAGAAAAGGGACGATTTAGGCTTCATACAAAGATGAATAGTGATCTGCATCTTGCTTCTGCGATTTTCAAGTCCCAGATGTAAAGATGGCACCTGGAGGCTTTCACCCCTGGGAGCTTCTGAGTCCTGGGGACGAAGACATCTTGAAATTGGTGCTAAAATGAAACATTAGGACCTTTAATCAGCCTCCCTCCACCCCTTTGTCTCATTCGGCCTATTTTTTAGTCTCTTCCGCTCTCACTCAGCAAGCAGTCGCTGCAAATGACATTCATAACTGCTCCTTTTTCCTATTACTTATCGTGTGCAGCTGCTCATTGGAAATGCCCGCAGAGTTTTGAAGATTGGGCGGTTGCATTGAAATGAGCATAGTTGGAGATGCACGATGGGATAATCAAAGTCCCCTCTCTCTCTATCTCTCCATCTGTGTGTGTGTGTGTGTGTGTGTGTG